TACTATATAGGTACTATATACCTACTTTATTCTATCTCTAAATTTTAATCTTATTACTTATTATGTTATATTATTTAATGTTTTAGTGTTATTTTAATGTTTGATGTTCTATATAATATCATGGAACAATTGAAAAATTATACATTATAATTTATGTATTTTATTACAGCACAAACAATATCGGTAATAGGGAATTCCGAAAATAAACAATGAAAAAAGAACAAAGAAAAATTAACAAAAATATATTAAAGTATGTTTAAAGTTTTAAATATTATGTTCTGTTGTCATAGGTGGGACAATTAGGTAGTTTTCTAAATAAAATAATCTTCCTCGTTGTACTTTGCATAATCATATCATGAGCACATCCTTCAAAATCACCATTTCACCGCCTTAATTGGATTAAAATTAGATTTTTATTTAAATAGAAATAAATATATAAATTAGAAATTGGACTTTCATGTTTTTAAATTAACACCACGTTAGAAAAAATCCTTTTTTAACACACTCATTAGTGACTGTTAACGGACTAAAGTTTGTTAGGGCAAATAATAACATAAATAAAGATAAATAATGGAAGAAAGTATGAAATTATCGACAAAAGAATTTCTAGTAAGTACCCAATAGAAACTTATTTTACTCTACATTATACGTAAGTATCTACGTGTTATATTTTATTAAAATAGAATAAAATCATTACAAAAGTGTAAATGAAATAATATTGCATTGGAATTTCAATATTTTTATCAGAGATATTTAAAAAAAAAAACATTGAACACTGCAGTAGTGTACCCATTTTGCCTATACACTACGCCGGCAATACATTATGTTTACGCGAAGTATGTAAAATATTAAATATTTTATCAATGGTAAAAATATTAATTTATAATAATAAATTCATTATCAGTATTAGGTAAGGACGATGTTAAGAGTATTACATATTATATAACCTAAAAAATATAGAGGTATTAAAAGTGTTGGGTAGTAACGTAACGAAAGTAACGCGTTACTGTAACGGAGTTACTTTGCTTAAAACGCGGTAAGTAATTTCATTAGAATTATTTCCAAGTAACGAAAATGTAATGAAGTTACTTTTGAAAAATAATTTCTATAAAATAACTCCTTGCAGTTTCGATTTATCAAGTACCTACCTACCTACCTATTGCGAATTCAAAAAAATATATGTATAATGCAGGTATTATTATGTTTACCAATCTAATATGTATATATATTTAATTTTAACTCGGCAAAAATCAGTTTTCAATGGTATTGACATTTGAAATGTCTAATTGCATCTTAAATCACGAGAACAGTTAATCAAATTTGTTATTTAATTTGATTCCTTTAAAGAGGTTTCCTATGAATTATCAATTATCAAATATCAATTTGAATGAAGAAGATAATTGCCAAGAAATTAAAAAAAATTTATACGAGTAAAGTAATTTAATTACTTTTTAAAAGTAACTTACCCAACACTGGGTATTACACATCTTGCTATTTTATATTTTCTTATATTTTTGATCACCCATATCTATATATATAAAAATGAATGTATGTCAGTGTGTGTGTCTGTGTGTCCATGTTACCATGGTTACCAAGGTTGCCATGGTTACTAAGGTTACCAAGATTTCATATCAATCTATATATATAAAACTGAATGTATGTCAGTGTGTGTGTGTGTGTGTGTGTGTGTGTGTCCATATTACCATGGCAACCATCTGTATATAAAAAACAGTAAGCTGATTGACTGCTATCAACGCACAGCTCAAACCATTGGACGGATCTGGCTGAAATTTGGCACACAGATAGCTATTATAATATAGACGTGCGCTAAGAAAGGATTTGCCAAAATTCGCATTTTAAATAGGTGCTGAAACAGGGACATTGAGATTCACGATAGAAATTGGAAATTTTATTTTTATTTATTTATAGTTGCCATTGGTTACAGTCTACATTAGAAATTAGCATTTATTTATTGGTTGCCATTGGTTATTCGGGCAGATCAGGTACAAGCTTGCATCAAATCGAATTATTGAACAATGCTTACCAGGGTGGCAGAGTTGCACTTACCGCAGAAAATTACACCCAAAAGGAGTTCAACAATCATAATTTTTTTAAGAGTTGCGATTTTTTACGAGCAACCAAATTTATTATATTATAATCCACAGTATTACATCAAATAAACTTGTATAACTTTGATACTTTAGAGTTAATTCCTACCACTTCCGTACAAACAGCACGGGGTCCGCGATTCTACCGCAGGTAGATTGCCTACCTGATAATGTACTGCTGCGATTCAGAATTTTTATCCAGGGCAACGGGAAAGATAAGATAATTTTGACACACCATAACACGTTTAATGATTGACAAAGTTTGAGGTAGGTAGATATGAGTTGATCCATTTAACGGGCGACGAAGTGCACGGGTTCAGCTAGTTATATTATAAACTTACATATAAATTGGTTGTTATCAAGACTGTTGCTTCCAAATAACTGTGTCAACTAAGAAGGTCTAGACGTTCTAACAGATTAAGTGTTTAAAACAGCAAAAAACACTAAGTTAGTATTATAGGGTACCTAATACCTATATTGTATTAAAAGTCAAAGATTGGGGTCTATTTAGAATAACAAACAAAATAGTTTAAATACAACCTAAATATAAAATTAATCAATGCCAGCGATATAGAATTTCTAACGGGTTGTGCACAGTGTTCAACAATTTCGAATGTATACCCATTATTGGGTTAATTTTTGAATCTGCACTGATCGTATCATGCCACTCATCAAATACTATATCCACAATATAAAATTATTTTCGGTAATAATACAAAATCAAAGGATTAAATTGATCATAATCGAAATAATATAATACAAGGGCTTTGTAATATTAATTAACAAAAGTAACAGTTAAATTAAAAGTGTGTGCTCTGGAATAAGACGTATTTTAGGCCCTGGCAGAGCGACATCCACTTACCCGCTTTATTGAATTTGTTAATTCTTTTCTCGATATTTTTTACTGATTATCTGTAGGTACTTACCTTATAGGCTTAATATTGACAATAATTGTTCTAAGAATCTGTTATAGCCTATAGGTAAGTACCTACCAGTTATTAAATTATGGCAACCTTGGTAACCATGGTAACATGGACACACAGACACACACACTGACATACATTCATTTTTATATATATAGATAGTAATACAGGCATACAGATATCATACACACGAAAATATTCCTCATAAAAATATAAAATCTTTAAAACAGAATAATGCTGCGCGTATGAATGTATGACTGCCACGAATAGATTTTTGTCCAAACACACACGGCTTTATGAAATACAAATGATATAGGTAGGTATTTTGTGTTATACATCTGAATTCTGAATATTGTTATCTAAAACCTAGATTAAAAAGGGATTGTGTTTGTCATAACACCCAACGGGTATGCTTATCCCCTCCCTTCGGCCATCGGTACAGGGTTAGGAAAATTGAAAAAAAATACTTAAAACCCTAAAAGTTATACCATACACAGATCACAGCAGATTGGTCATTGGCATTTGGCGCTGCTGGTGTCGGAGTGTGTGTGTGTGTGTGTGTGAGATAGTTATTGTTTTATTAAGTTTGTAATGCTTGAGTTAACTTCAATATTGATTATTACTATTTACAAATATTATTGTTCCACATGTAAATTTAACAAATAATAAAGTCAGTTCAAAAGTATATGTAAATAACACTGATTATTCAATTCTCAAAATTAAAATATTGTTTTTATGTGGTAAAAATAATAATAATGATTTAAATTAACAATTAGATATTAAACTATTAAAGTACCGGTCTAATGTACAGTAGAGGTTGAGTGTTGACTGTCGAGTGTACTCTAGTCGTTGAGTAAATCACTGTAATGTATGATAAATCTTCGCATACAAAAAACGGTTCTGAGTGGTATTTATTATTTATATAGGTATTAATGTATTATTATGATGCTATCAACAATTTCAAACCAACTATATATATTAAGCTCAAAAAAAGTTAAAATAAAAAATAATAGTATGTACAACATGTTACAATATAATATTATATTGGCCTGCCTAGTTGTTATTGTCATACCTTAAAAAAGTTGAAATGACACCACTGAGCAGTGGTGGATCCAGGGGGAGGGCAAATGGGTCATTTGCCCTCCCCCCCAATCAATGTAGGGTTTCCCTTTGTTTTACATTGAGTTTATCCAATTTTGTAGCAAATTCAGCAGATGTATGTACTTTTTGTACCTTTGAGCTGTCCATGTCCCCCCCACCAAATTAAGGCCTGGATCACTACTGAGTTAATATTGTGTTCATCTTCGTTGAGTCGCTCTTGAATAAAAGATGTTGCCATAGTATATGGCAGAGGTCTTCAAACTACGGCCCGCGAACAAGTTTTAACCGGCCCGTGGCCCGCATAGGTAAATATAGATAAAAGCATTTTTGATATTTACTAATACAGACCCGAAATCCAAAAAATATCTTTTTAGTGTCATTAATGCAATCACGCAACAATATGACACAAATAGGTCCTACCAGGGGCGAGGATTTAGAAATTATATGTGATTGATAAAATACAGCAATCTCATTTTCCATGAATAGAATAAAACTTTTAAGTTGCAAATAAATCTATTAAAATGAATTGTGATATTATTGATTACTCTATAGCCTTTAGTATTCAAAGAACACTTATGTAGGTAATGCATTATTATTTTCACCATTTTAACAATCCAAAATTAAGTAACTGAGTTTACTAGATGGTAGTAAAATTATTATATAATATTATGTTAAAAACTAGTTTTTTTACTTAACTGATTTTTTTACTGAAGTTATATTTTTTAATTTTAGTTGATAAAATTCAAACTGTACATTTATTTTAATTGATACTAAGCAGAGCTTACAGAAATACATATAAATCTATATAATATTTAACTGTTCAAACTTAAATATATTCTTAATGAGAACTAGCAAGTTGAAATAATTATTAAATAGAAGCTTCAGAAAAACGTTTGGACACAGCATCCCAATCAACAACTTCAAAAATTGCATTTACGTAATCAGCGCGTACATTTTTATACTGCAAGTAGTAAGCATGTTCCCAAACATCAATCCCAAACAAAGGAATCAGTCCTGTTCAGAAAAAATTTCAATGAAATATAAATATAAATAAATTTTAGTATTCAATCATTACTATATGGGTACTGATTTGTAATTGCCTCACTCTGTTTTTTTATTGTCCCACTACCTATATATTCAATATATTATATTACATAAAATATAATATTCATCAAAAACTAATGGTTTAAACTTTAAAGCCAATGATTCTCAGAAAAATATACTATTACTAAGTACCATAGGTGTTTATATAATAAATCAAACATAACATGTCTTACTAAACTACCTTGGACAAATTATGTCTTACATCACCTCATAAGTTTAAGTTTTTCGTTAATTGTAGATTCAATTAATGTGTCATAGTTAGTGTGAAATCGATCAGAAAGCATAGTGTACAGAATATATACTATGTCAGAAAGAAAATTCATACCAATCGTACACTAATATATTAGACCTAGTTTCATTTTTTTTCTGCTTTTATGTTCATAGGTGTTATCCTCATAACCTGCTGACATTTAATAATCTGATCTAAAAGATCAGTCTTTTTTTTGTCAGAGAACTGTATTTTTATCTTTTACTAGTTGTTGTTACAAAATTAAATGCAAATTTTTATAAAATATATGATACAAATGATTAATAGTAAAACTATTCAGTGAATAGGTACAATTTACATTTTGATGCATAAACAATCGATTATAATAGGAGAAGCACCATGACCAGAACCGTATGGAATCATTAACTCTGCCATTTACAGAACAGAACAATACATTGTTTCAAATGTTGATTTAGTAGTAGACAAAGTCAATAATTTAAGTCAGTTGAATCCAATCTTATTTATACTCTGAAATAAATAAGAGCACACCGGTTCTAAGCACTTTTTTCTCTTTCCATCGTTTCAGTGTTTTTTTTTTTGCACCAGAATGACTAAATATTATTAAGTTATTATGAAAATGTTAATATTCTTTGCTCTTCCTAAAATATGTAATGATGAATTTCATTTTTAGGAATAGATAACTATGTTATTTTTTGGAATTGTTTTGGTAATATTCAACTACACAGCAATTATTTAAGCATAATAGTCTTCAAGATTGTAAAAATGTGAAATGTTAAACAAAAAAATGGTACGATAAAATAAATCTATGAATAACAACAGTCGACAAATAAACTTAATTAAGACATGCCCAAGATCATTAAAGCACAAAATAAATGTAATATATTTTGTGATTACAGTAAGGTGTTGGGCGTTTGATTTATTGGTTTGAATGTTTGGTTATAAAAATGCATATACTATCAGATTCCAGTAATAGTATGTTAATTATGAGTTCCATCAAATCCTCAAATTAGTTTTTGATGAGAATCATACAAAATATATTGATTATATGAGTGAATGGACGATAACAAACCAGAATGATATTTTCATACAATAAAAAAACAGTACATAATAATTATATAATCTCACCAGTGGTGGGAAACAGTGGATCTTGATTTGCACAACTTATGACTGTCAACTTCTTGGTTTGAGGATTAAACCCAAGCCATCCCCATCCTGAACCTTGTACAGCAATAGAAGCTGTAGCTAGTTGTTTCTTAAACTCATCACAAGAACCAAAGTTTTGGATTAAAGCCTTGTTCAAATCATCTAAAGAAAACAAATATTTTTATATTTATAAAATTACCTATTAAAAAATATGAACTAAATAATAAGTTAAATCAGAAGGCAAAAGGTTTCCATTTCAAATATGAATTGTTAAGTTTGTATGCTGTCTTACAAAAAGTGACAAAGTAAAAATAAATTTAGAGTTATACAAATTTAAAAACACATTTTGCATGACTTCATTAATAGTTCAGCAATAGCTGTCAATAATTTATTGACAAACGAGATTAGTGAAAACTAAATAGCAATATTTGTGTCACTTTACAGTTGTCGATAAACTAATAATTCCTGTATTATAATTGAACAGATGGTACTTCCGGGGTATCTCGGCAGCAACATTTGGCAAACGATCCATTTTCTAGAATTCTAATGGATATTTAAACGTACTTTCCTCCACAAAAAAATCAATAACTGCATTTATTTGATTTTAGTTATTTAATTTTTGTTTAAAATGTTTAAATGTTTTTTATACTTACTTATACATTATTTTTATCTGATTTTTTTAATACATAATAAAAATAATAACTGAATGTTAATTAATAGTCAAAAATATAATACGAATATATATTTATTTAATAAATTGCAGTAGTCGAGTAACCCGGATGATGATAACGGATAGTCTTGGCAATATTTTGGTAGTTGAGATAATCCGCAAGTATCAAAATTATACACAAATAAATAACTCACTATTTTATAATTTTAAAATATCATAAAAATATTAATGAATATTTTACCAGAAGGTTTAGTCGAATGAGGTGTAAGGGTATCCCAGAAAATAGAATGATTAATATGACCACCACCATTGAACTTAAGTGCAGGTGACAAACTTATGATTGTTGCTGTATCATCTATAAAAAAACAACAATTTTAATAATTGGCTAATATAATTACGCAATATTAATGTACAAAACCTTTTGCTACAGCAGTCTGTAATTTATCTAGAGTATTATTGTAGTTTACTACATAAGTGTTGTGATGTTTTTGGTGGTGAATTTCCATGATATCCCGTGATATGATTGGTTCTAAGTCTTTATATTCAAATTTGAGACAGGGTAATGTTGCCTTACTTCTTATTTGGGACATATACAGGCGGTTGAATGGTGCACTAGAAAAATTACAAAAATCATCATATCATAAAAAAAAAAAAAGACAAGTTATCTTCTTATACATAATTAATAATCCTTTTAAAGAGAACTCTCATCATTTTTAGTTTAAAACACTGATGTAAATATAAGAACAAATTAAATGAAGCAATAACTATAATATAGTAAACTGTTCTTATTGACTATACATTTCTGGGAAAGTTAAATATTACATAAACTTTTTAAAGATTTACTTTCATACATTACCATTTTAACATATTTTGAACAATTTTAGCAGACATTTTTCAACGAATGATTGACAACAAGCGTTTTAAGAAAATAACAATAAATAACGTTTCGGCTTGTGTGTAATGTAATTAAATGGGTAAGTTTATTGGCGGATGAACTGAAATATAAAATTATGAAATATCGTCATAAAAGCTTTCGCAGGATTTAGAGATTAGAATATAGCAGAGAAATCAGAAATTCGGAAAGTCGGAAGTCGAAAGAATGAACTATGAAGATCGAATAATAGTTCGAACCTTCAAAGTTAAAAAGATTATAAAATATGTAGGTAATACTGTAATAGGTATATTAAGTTCTTTAGATCTTCAAGAGTCAAGACACAGTTATCAAGGTATGTTCTATTGTTCTGTGATAATGTTTATCATTAGATTATTAAAGGTATAATAATAATACGTATAGATAGCGCTCAAATTCATTAAACGATTCTGATGCTCCCAGAAAATATAATTTTTCCTTTTACCCATCGAGGTATATAAACTATATATAGTTTATATACCTCGATGCTTTTACCTATGTCCCTCCAGATCATATAGCTATTAAAGATATCTTTAATATCTATGCTCTATATACTTATCCCATTAGCCCCCCCAAAAAATATTGCTGTTAATAACGTTAGCCCTCCTGAAATTGCAATGGATTTCCGCCTATAAGTGACTAAATATTTCTAACATAATCATTTTTAATCACTTTTCACTTGACATTCTGTCTTGAAAATTTAAATGGTAAAAAATAACAAAATTGTTTTTAGGTAGTTTTATGCTGAAAAGGTAAGATTAGTTTCCCATTTGGTTTTAAATACATGATCCACACCTTTTAACTTTTGGGACATTGAAATACAGATAATTTTGAATTTGTATTAAAACCAAAACAAACAAACAAAATAAGTTGAGAATCAAATTAAAGAATGAAAGTTTCAAAAGTCCAAAAGCAACAATTCTAAAAACAGTACTACCGTCTTGATATTTGATTAGAATAGAATATTCTATTATCAATGGTACTACCACAAAAAAGGAGGAATTTCATATATTCTGTGGTAGGTACCAATACGACGATACCTACCTACTATATGAATTAGGATAGTATCAAGTATGATAAATTGGCATTTGACTTATTGAGTTTGAACATTGAAGCATATGTAGAAAGGGTCATAGATTATAAGATATAGAGGACTGGACTACTGGAGTATTGGACACTAGGAAAGTTAACGTTTCCCTATAAACACCTATGTGGCTATGTATATAGGTATAGTTGGGGTAATGCGTTGGTTGCGATCTAACGGATGGTTTCTCCCGTAATCGTAATTCATGGTTGACAATTAGTACTATATTATTGCGAACATACTATTCTAAATTTAATACCTAGGTGGCTAGGTATTAATATAACTCAAAAAAGGAACTGAAACAATGATTATCGACGTCTTTGTCATATTACAGTATAGGGTCTCGATAATCCGAACGAGATTGGGGAAAGGGGTCGTTCGGATTACCGATTTGTTCGGATTACCTATGACTTAATAAAAACAACAATTTTATTGTAATTTAAGTTATGAAATTTATTTTTATCTGTATTAATCATTGAATAATGTATAATTATAAATGTGTATATGCAAATTATATATGTATGTGTATATGAACCTTATTTAAAATATTGATTTATTTTTTTTTGTACACTGACAAATTTTATTATTGGGAAATACCGGCGATGCGATAATTTTCAAGCTCGTTCGGCTTACCGAGTCTTTCGGATTAGCCTGTGTTCGGATTATCGAGACCCTACTGTATTCAACAATTTATAAAAAAAATTTGTAAAAATGAACAAAAATTAATTTGTGTAAATCAAAATGGTTGTAAATAAGATTTTTTTGTAGAAAAAATGAATTTCATAGGGAGTCAGAACCTTAGAATCCTACGCCACTGGTAGGTACAGAGATATTTAAAATCAAAAAATGTCGACAACTCAACCCATGATCGCCCTCGAGGTCAAACCAAAACATTTGGCGTCGGTTCCGTTGCTCTACAATGGGTGGGTTGAAACATTTTGAGGACAGTGTTAAAACCGATAGGCTCAATATTCAATCTGGCAAGAAACAAAATAATTTTTTTTCCATGATCTTTCTTAAATAAAAGTTAAAAAATGAATCCAAACATTTTTGTTTCAGTTTTATAAGGCGTCGTTGTGAAAGCTAATAGCGAGGGGGGAGAGCCAAAATCTCGAATTATTTTGTGCTATCTGATAAAGGTGTAACATAATATAGCCATAAAGAAATAGGTACAAAGGTACACAAATACATATTTTAATACATAGAAAAAAGTATTTGAGTGACCCGCGAAAGGTACAAAGAAGAACTTGGTAAAACATTTCCGTCCGCGGTCACACTGTCATTAAAGATAAATTATAGTGTAAATTATAGTATAATTATATTATATACCATATATATGTGTCTATGATTATATCTTGTATCTTAAATCGTGAGTGATAGTGGTGATAGTGATGGTTAAATGATAGCGAATGCCGAATAGCAATCCACATTACAATTTATTTACATAATATTATCTAAATATGTTATAAATTGTGTATTTGTGTGTTCGACAACATTCAGCATGATTCGAATTCGTCCGTTAGTTTTTTATGTGACAAAATATTAATAATATACAAATAATATTAGATCTTTATTTTATTTAAACTGTTATTGTATGAATATTTTTTAAAATGTGTGATCAAGTATTACCAGTAACACCTGTTAAAAAAAATAAAAGAGGCAAGGTAAGAATCAATCTTTCCAAAATGTTAGTTTATCAATTTATAAATTGATCTCTATATACTTTTTTATAACATTTATTGTTTTTTTTTCTCTTATTTTATATAGGTTATTCGAAGTAAACAAAAAAGATTAGTTATAAATCTATATAAAACAAAGAAGGCAAATAAACCTAATATATTATACAAACAGTTAATACAAGAATTAATGACAGAAACTGGAATTGGAAGAAATAGTATTGAAAAAATAATTTCAGAATACAATGGAAATAAAACTATTACTTCTCCTATTATGAAGAAAAATAGAACAAAAATTATTGAAGTGATTGATGATTTTTATAAAAATGCCATTCGTCAAAAAGTGCATTCATTTTGGCAAAACCGTGACCCACCCACGTTGGATAAAATCGTAAATTCTGTCTCTAAAGACGACAGTTTACCTACATTGAAACGGACAACCATGTACAATCTTCTTAAAGATTTAAATTTTATATATACTAAAAGAAAACAAAATAGTGTTTTATCTGAGAGAGAAGATTTAATTGTATGCCGTCGAAATTATTTACGAAGTATAAAAGCATACCGAGAAGAAGGACGAACATTATATTATTTGGGGGAGACATTAGTGGGCGAGAAATTGGTAGACAATTCCATAAAATCAAATATAAATGCATTTCAAAAAAAAATAATAGATACTAGTAACCCAACTGACAAAAGCAAATATTTTATTATTATTGTACACATTGGTTCACGAGAAGGGTTTGTTAATGGTGGTCTAACTTGTTTCAATTCTAAGACTAGTAGCAATGACTACGATAGTGAAATTAACGGTGAAAATTTTTTAAAATGGTTTAATAATATTTTACCTTTATTAAATGAGAATTCAGTAATAATAATGGATAACGCTCCTTACCATTCTGTTAAGGCAGAACAAATTCCAGTTTCATCGTGGAAAAAGGCGAATATTATGAAGTGGCTCCAAGAGAAAAATGTTCATGTTGATACTTCATATGTTAAAGCGGAGCTATTGGATCTAGTTCAAAAACATAAACTAGCGTTCGATAAATATGTTGTTGACGAAGTCGCCAAGGCACACAATAAAATTGTACTAAGACTACCGCCATACCATTTTGAGTTAAACCCCATTGAACAAGCATGGTCCATGGTTAAGGAATATGTGAAAGATAAAAATACCACTATAAAATCTAGTGATGTAAAACAATTGCTAATTGAAGGTGTTGATTCGGTCACAGCGGAAAATTGGCAAAATTTTGAAGATCAAATAATCAAAGAAGAAACTAAATTCTGGGAAATAGACAATATAGTTGACGACTTCATAGATGATGAGTATACTTGTACATTTAATGTCAGAACATCAAGTGACAGTGATGATAGTATGTAATTTATTTTTAATTAATAAATTGAGTAAGTAATGACAAATATATTACAGATGAGTTAAATATTATATATGTACCTATAATATTATAGTATTATATAATGTATATAGTAGGTATATTGTAATTATATTATTTTTTAAATGGTTAATTAATAATTATTATTTTTGTATTTTGAGTTATTGTTTGTGTAAAAAAAAGTTTATGACAATAAAAAAAGTGTTTTGTACTTAAAATAGAATATTATTGTCATTATTATAACAGATATCAAATAGTTTATTGTAGAGAATAATGATGAATTTTCCATTGATCATTTGACCATTACTTAATCGTATGCGCTACATGGTTCTAGTTTCTCGATGAATGAAGTTGTATTATTTAGCATCACAATTTATAATATATATTTTTATTTATTAAAGTATTTAAAGTTGTGATTTAAAGTGTGAGTGAAGTTGCAAGTACTACCCCTTGAAATATGTAGTGTACCCATTGGCACTCTGTACTATGCAAATCATAAAAACTTTTCATTCAATACCTTTATTTTTATTTATTATTTCTATATTAATTTTCTTGTAATTGTAAACATTTGTACGAGTGTTTTAGTTGTTTGAAAATAGCATCATTCCCACTTACAAACATAATTATATTATTTATTATTGTACAATATACACTACATAACAAATTTAATAATAATAATATGTTATATTATTCAAATTTTTGAACTATAAATACGATAAGAGGACGCTATACCGCATGCGTTGTCTCCATCTTACAAATGTACAACAAAAAACTGTTTTGCTCGGGATAGAACCACTCCCTTGGTATTTATAGTAGAATTACCAAAATTCCACAACGCAAAGCGGCCAACTTTATCGGTGTCATACAGTTTTTATTTTTTTGATAGCATGTACCTACCAATATTTTATAATAATTAAATTAAAAAAAAACAAAAAAATCCTAATGTTCTTAAACTGATAACTTTAATTTTATTTATGTTGTAATAATAAAAACGCTACTACACAGATAAATAGTTGTTCCCTATACGTTGTGGAATTTTGGTAATTCTACTATAAATACCGAGGGACTGAAGGAGTGGTTCTCTCCCGCACAAAACCGTTTCTTACTATGTTGTACATGTGTAAGACGGAGACAACCCAACGAACTGCATTCAAATTTCAAGCTTTTTGCCCCAGTGAAAAATTTGATATCGATAATAATTTAAAAAAATTAATAATAATCAAAATTATTTTAATTTCACTATTAACCACTTATCTCTTGTGCGGAACCCTGTAATAGATATATTTTAAAGTTTTTTGATCTAGCGAAAAAACTTCTATATTGACAATAATTAAAAAAATTTTAAAAAAAATTGTATCCCCTTCTTGTTTCATTTTCACGAGAAAAAGTAGCCTATGTTTTTTTTTTCAAGGTCCCATCTAGACTTCTCGCGTATTATAAAAATGATCTATTTCTATACCAAAATTCATGTCAGCAAATTGGTTCTGTGGTTTTGGTGTGAAAACGTAACAGACAGACAGACTGACTATAGTGACTTTCACATTTATAAAATTAGTATGGATTGTTAAAATAACCCGAGCTCCTTCGGAACAAGTTTTTAAATCGTTTGAAAATACGTTTAGCTAATAGCTGTTAAATTATTATTACGCCATGCCAATGATGTTGAAATTATATATTATATATATAATATATACCTATATATTATTTATGTGGAACTATTATTTTTATATTACATATTTAGCAGTTTGGGGGACACTTCCCACTAAGTCACGTCATTTCAGTTTTCAATAAAGGGGGGGAGGAAGTTTTGACCAGCCCAAATGGGTAACTTTTAAAAAAAACCAGCTCGATTCCCTGTTAAGTACCTACATACTAATAATATATTCCTTTTCATTCATGTAAAACACACACATACGACATAGGTACATACCGAATTTCGTGCATGCCCAAACATGCTTACATATATAAATAAATATATTCCAATTTCCAACTTTTATAAGTATTACTTATTAGTTACCAATTTATCATACTGACAATACTTTCTTAATATACAATAATAAAACATTTTCTCAAAATATTAGAAATAAAAAGGCGGGTAAGTGGATGTCACTCTGCTGTACAGTAGGTTACAAGTGGGTCGCTATAATGGATGGTGTTAAATTTGAATTCAATGATATAATATCATTGTATAAGAAAAACGATTCTGAGCGAAAACGGTCAGTCAGCCTATGATAATTACTAAGTATATTTGATCATATTATTGTGAATAAAGTAATTTATATATAATTTACCTATTTACGTATGGACCCTTGTTTTAAATTTTCAATATTTAGCTATAAAAATTGAACATTTTATACATTTTTAACTACAAAATAATTATTAAATTTTAAATATGATAAATTTTGTCAAAATTCGAACTTTAAATGCTTATATAAAAAATTGTGCCCATGTATTTTTCTTATTTTTCAACTGCTATTGCTACAATATATCAGGAGCCTTGCATTAAATTTTCACGCTTTTTTACCCAACAAATACATTTTATTGATATTTATAGAAAAAGAAACTATGAAAATTGAAAACTGACTACGTCCGAGTAAACAGCTCACTGCAAAGAGTCAAAATATTTTCAAATTTATATGGTGTACAGAAAATGAAAATATAAACATTCATTGTATAATAAAATTTTCAAATCTTAGATTTAAAAATAAAAATGTTTATGAATTTCTAACTCAAAGTAATTTGCACATTTAAATGACACAAAAAAAAAATTTTAAAAATTTAAAAAAAAACATTTCATTGTAAAATCAATATATTCATCGCTCCGTTCAGAATCTAAAATATAACACTCATAATTAAAATTCTCAAAGCGGTTTGATCTTGACTTGATCACCAATATATTTAAATTTTTAAAACACATTCTAGTAATAGATTTAAAAAGAAAAATTTTTATGAATTCACAACTCAAAATAATTTACTAATTTTCGTGATTTTACCGTATTTTGTCAAGATTTGAACTTTAAATGCTTATATAAAAAAAAAATTGTGACTAAGGTTTTTTAATATTTTTCAACTGCTATTGTAACAGTATAATAGGAGCCTTGTATTAGATTTGAAAGTTTTTTTTTACCCAACAAATAAAGTTTTATTGACATTCATATAGACAAAAATGACTAATAAAACCAACTAGATTCACTTTCGGTCCATCGAACAAGATACTGTTGAAGAAATTCGAAGCACTTTTATTGCGTTAAACAGTGATGACAGACACAAAAAAAAATAAAAAATAAAAAAAAACACATCATTGTAAAATAAATACATTCATCGTTCCACTCAGAATCTAAAATAGGCATGTTTTCGCTGATAAAATATAAATTGTTTTCGGGGTGCCGCCACTGGGTGACTTCCCCCTCCCGCTAATCATCCCCATCCCATTTACTTATTGTAATACATGTAATTATAGATTGAAAATAACATTTTTTGTTCAATAAAAAAAAAAAAATATATAAATTATAATAATGATTAAACGGTAAAAGGGTACCTAACATAATTAATGTATTAACTATTAAGCATACGGCATACATCTTAACATATTATAAATCAAAGTCCCTTTTCTCTCTGTATGCTTAGATCTTTAAAACTACGCAACGGAATTTGATGCAATTTTTTTTAATTGATAGAGTGATTCAAGAAGAAGGTTTATATGTATACAGGGTGTCCCGTGAGGATTTACCTATTAGCCGTAGAGGGGGACTCGCCGCCCGGACAAAAACCGGTTTTTTGCCGTTTTACTTATTAATTAAAAAAATTATTAAAAATCATGAAATTAATGAAATTAAAATGTTGAAACGTCAATATTTTCAGAAAAATGAACTCTACAAAATGGCAATCTTCAATATTTTTTAAATAATTAATTAAAAAAATAATTTTTTTAACTTTTTTACCAAAACTTAAAAAAAAAATAAAAAATTAGTTATTTGTAGTGCTTACCTCTGTGAGTCTTAATAAGAAAACCGAATTACGATATCTCTATTATTTCAGGAGATATCGCAATGAGTAAATCCTCACGGGACAACCCGGGAGGTGCTCAAACAGGAATTTTGAGATTTACGATAGAAATTTTTGTTTATTTATGGTTGTTATGGTTGTTATGTTTTAAAACAGTGGTTCCCAACCTTTTTACCACCACGGACCACTTCCACAATATTTTATAGGTCGCGGACCACCTCAATTTTTACGTAAACTAGGAAGACCTTTTTTTTTTTTTTTTACAAGAATACGCAAATTTGTCGAAAAATTTAAATTTTTATTATTTTACTTTACTTTTTATTACTATTCTATTATATATTATAATTATACTACTTAACTATACTAAATAATTCAATTAGGTAAAAATTTTACATTTTATTTATAAACAATTTAACACAAATTACTGTTTTTATGTTTTTATACACGCTACTGCATTGTACAACATAAACAATAACAATAGAGTTTAAGTCATGAATTGGTGAAATACTTTCAAAAATTGTCTTAAAAATATTTAGTTAAAATACTAAATACATTGGGTTTTAATAAGTAATTGTCAAATACTGAATACTATATATAGATACAATTGAAAAAAAGGTGGGCAAGTGGATGTCGCTCTGCTGTACAGTAGGTTACAAGTGGGTCACTGTATAATGGATGCTTTTAAATTTGAATTCAATGATACAATATCATTGTATAAGAAAAACGATTCTGAGCGAAGACGGTATGTCAGTCTAGGTTCAAGACAAATTATATACATATCTATGGTATTAAAAAAAAATTGACCTATAATAAATTCCAAATTAATCATATCACATTATCACAATATCCATTAGGTACTTATAACACGTTATACATCAACATCAATAACAAACCCTGATACTATCATAGATATATAATAGTACACTTTAGAGTTTAGAAGTTTCAAGTAGGTACCCACGAATAATATTATATAATCACAACAAAATAACTAGGTTTTTTAATATGTAATTTCGTCTAAATTTGAACATAAAATGACTATAAAAATAAACTGTGATTGTATATTTTTTAGATTTTTCGGTAAGAGAATTAACTACTTACGTGGAATCTTGTTTTAAATTTTCAATCCTTAGCTATAAAAACTGAACATTTTATAATTTATTAATTACGATGATTAAATTGATGGTTGTATAACTTATTTTACAAAAGCCTAATTGTTTTGATTTTTTCCGAAAACGTTGACCTAGTCTGACTTTAAAACATTTATTCAACCGGTCCTAAGTCCTTGTATTGAAACGAATTAAATATGTTTTAATCACTTATCAGTGGTAATAGGTAGACTGCCTAAAACAAAAATACTTTTATTTAGTATTTATAGATTATTTAAAAAAAAATTAATACTAAGTAGGTATATTTAATTCAAAACTTTTATTTTTTTTTATCCTCTTTTTAACTTTCAGAAGTAAGTTAAGTTAATTTATTTTGTTTTTGATTTTATTATATTTTACTATTTCGGTCTATTTAGTTTTCATGTCAAAAAATTTTTACCGTAAATTATTGTTTAAAGTAGAAAATGTATATCATTCAAATCTAATTTATATGAAAATACTGTGTAAAGTAAGAACACTATATAGTTTATAATTTAGTTTTGGGTTGGAAAAAATTAAGTACTCTAGCGTTGTATGAACAAATTAACTTTTTTTTAACTTAATAAAAAGTTAACAATAAGTGTGTACCTATTAACTTTTAACTTTTTGTCATTGTTGCATATTAACTTAACTTAACTGTGTTAAAAAAATCATAAACTTGCCCAATGCCCAGCCTTGCATATTTTACTTCTATATTTATATATATGTAATGTATTTTAATATATTGTCATACTTGGATAGTTGGATACAATTTAGAAAAAAAAGGCTAAAATCTAAAATTATAATTTGTTTTATTTTGATTTTAAAGGTTGATTTTTGTATTAGGAATAAATGAAGTGGTATTGGTGTAATAAAAGTGTTCTCTAAAATAGTTGAAGCATAAATGCAATAAGGGGAAAATATACATTTTGAGTTATCACTTTTTACAGGGCTTGAAACCAATTGAAAAATATCGATTTTGGTTTCAATTTTTCAATACCGGTATTAGGAAATTTCTGTTTTGGTTTCGATATTGTATACCGGTTCGGCAGTTTCCAATTTTTTCCGATTTTGTATTCAGTTTCAGTTTTTTAACGATTTATACCGGTTTCAAAAATCGGTTTCAAGGCCTGGACTATTTACGTTCATTCTTAGTTTATTAATTTATTTTGAATCGCCGGATCGAGCGTTCTAATCGCCTTTTGTGTAAAGTAAACTTTCCAAAATATTAAGATACAAAGATTTTTTTTTTTAAAATTTCGTTTTTTAAATTATATTTACGTCATCGGTTTTTAATTATAATACCGGTAGGTATCCAATTTTTTCCGGTTTTAATTTTGTTATTGAATCAGAGGGGCCTTAAAAGTTTTTTGTGACAATGAATACAAGAAAACTGAGAAAAAAAGTGGCGCCAAAATCGTAAATACGCCTCTGATAACGGTGCTATTTCCCTTGCAGCTTACCTATTGTGCCAAGGTACCGTGTTTTCGATAACGGATGATGACAATTATTTTATTTTTATAATAATATAGGTATACCAATAAACCAATGAATTCTGTACGACCATTCATCATACATGTTTATAAATAGGTGGAAAATATGAATTACTGCTGATTCCTTGTTATCAACTACAAACGTATGTCGTGTTGACTTATTATGTATTCCCTACATTATGTATGGCCCCCTTCATATTGCTTATATATTACCATTTACGATTTACCAATTACCAGTATGTAGTGTAACCACTGAAAGAACTTTTTCTAAATTAAAAATTATAAAAAATCTGTTAAGGAGCACTATGAAACAAGATCGTCTTGAGTAGTTGAGTCATTATTAATAATATCATGTGAGTAAGATGTCCACATAGATAAATAGATAATGATGTAGTGGTTGATGTATTTGCAAAATGCAGTTTAGTACTAAGCAAAAAAGTTATTGGTTGAAACTTAAAATATAATAATTAATTATATACCTACATATTATGCACGTATTATATAGATAGATCATAGATGTATCGATATACCTTATGTATAAAATAATATTTTACTAAAGTTTTATTGGAAATTTTGACTTTGAACCTAATAAGAAATAATATTTTTGTAAGTGTCTGGGTAACAGGCGCGGATCTAGAGCATATTTACGGGAGGGGAGGGCATCTTAAATAACATTTCTGCCTAAGTCTGATAAAAACATTGTACATACTATGTAAGCTAATAGGAAAATATTATTATTTAAACCCAGTTTATCAGTATAATAAAATATATAAAATAATTTGATAAGTAATATAAATGGTTTAATTAATAATGATACGTAATACACTAATACATATATAATAAATAATAATTAATAATAAAATATAGCAAATATTAAAAAATATTAAAAAATGATCACAGAACAAAATCCTTTCGTCTTTTAAATAATTAGATAAGTAATATAAATTATAAATGGTTTAATTAATAATGGTACGTAATATATAATAAATAATAATTAATAATATTTTAACATTTTATTGCATCAAACAAGTTTAAATATTCGATTAGATTAGATTAGCTTTTTGACGGCGACCGGTAAAAACGGACACGGCTGAAACGCTATCGGCAAAACAATACATTTTATCGGCTGCCGAAAATAGATATAATAGAAAATCCACCAGTCTACGGGGGGGGGGGGGGGCATGGCACCCCTTGGATCCGCGCCTGCTAGGTAAGGGTGGGTGGGTGTTTAAAATTTGTGTTTGCACCACCTACTAAAAAGTAGTTCGGCGCCACTGGTGTTTTTGAGTGAGTCTCTGAATGGTTTAGATTCACAATTAGACCCAGTTGGCTCATCCCGGAGAGATGATCAAACAGGCATTTTGAGATTTACGATAGACATTTTTTTTTATAAATGGTTGCTATTGGTTATAGGAGAAATATAGGAAATTGAAAATTGGAGGGTGAACAGCTTGATTTTTCAACTCATATAGGCTGTAGATAGGTAAAGGGTAACTCACACATGATTTTTTTTAACATACGAAAATAGAAATGGTTTGTTTGTCAATCTAAATGGTATGTACATTTTGTACAAATATATTTATTAAAAATACAAATCTTTGGCCTGGACAACGTGGGGCGGGACAGTTAATATATAATAAATCACATTAAAAACACAATATTATATGCTAATACAATTTAAAAACATAGTTAAATTTGAAATTAAATAAAAATTGAATTGTGATAAACAATAATGTATAAACTATTTTCTACTGGAATGAATAATGAATATAATGATTTAGTATTACTATAATACTCGTCTAAATGGGCGAGTCGGTAATATAGACAATATAGTAAGTAACCACTAACCAGTGGCGCCGAATCTATAACCCAAGAGGGGAGACCGCCCGGCGCCCACTCTTGTTTTCAGTAGTGGGGGTCCATGGGTACCCAATAGGCAACAATTGATACCCCTGTAACTATAAAATAAGTACGTATGGTCAGCCTAAATATAAAAGGTATTTAGCTGCCATATATATGGTGCAACAGTGGTAGGTAATGAGAAATAATTCTGCCCACTCCGATTTAATTTTAGTTCTGTAAGTAACTATTAACTACCACGATTAAAGATAGGTACAATTATATTTTATATACTAACTTATTGTTGTAAGTTGTAGGAGAGGTGAAAAGTGAGCTACGATCATCATAATTCAAAATTCATAGGCCAAGTAACCGTTTTTCACACTGGCGGATCCAGGGGGTGGCAAAGAGGGCATTTCCCCCCCCGTGCCCCCCCCCTCCAAAAAAAATTAAGACCTGGACCCACCACTGGTTTTTCATCACGGATACTGCAACTGTTTTCCCGCCTGAAACAGCGCTATATTACCAACTGCTGTTTTTAAAATGCGCGCCAACAATTAACAATACTATTTAGAGCAGTAGTGTATATCTGTGGCTATAATAGAATTATATGAAATTATACGAAAATGTTTATACGCATAGATAATAGATACCTCTATTTTATTAATATACCTAGCCATTGGCCGTGGCCTATTCATTCTTTAATATCTATGTTTATAAGTGCCTTAATTACTTCCAAACCACGAATTAAGATAGGTAGTATATCTTAATTCGTGTTCCAAACGTAGAGGCCCTGAAAACTGGAAAATTGTCCGAAAGAGTGCGGGACGATCGCGACTCACATTTTGCCACTCCTTTATTTTAGTACTCTACCACTCTCGTCGCTGACGCCTGACCGCAGCAATGCGCATGTCTTATTTGTTAACTGTTAACAACTGTTAAGCGCCGCCGAGCTTTTTCGATTTTTCGCCTCTCAGACTCAGTTTTTCTCGACAAGCGACAACTTTCCTTTAACCATCGGGTAGCGACGTAGTATCCGTCCGCCCGTGAAACCCTGTCCTCCAAATTTCCCAAAATCCGTTCTAACTCCATCAGACAATCAGTTTTTATCAATAATATCGTTTTGGTGATAAATCGTTACGCGACGATCGATCGATCGATCGCACCTTCCGCTCCAAGACCAATCGGTATATTATACTTTAATTATTATTTATTAGTTATTACATTATCGTTATTATAATGTTATCGTAACTATAGTTTTTAATTATTTATTATATTATTATTGTTGTTTCCATCGATCGCCCCCACTCGGCAATTCGAATGTGCTTTTGAAACCGGCCGTCTTCCGTTCGTCATCAATTCAGTCAGCAAACAGTTAACGAGTTTGGCGCTATGGCGTACTGCAGAACTTTTAAGTCCCAGGTGTGTATTTCATTCATGATGCCGAAGTTTGGTTTTTTCCTACATTGATCTGGCTGATGATTCCAGTTTTAATTTTCAACTACTCTTTCCGCATTCACAGGTATCGTGGACCAAATTGGTATCCGGTGAGATCCAGCAGAGATGCTTCCATTCATCTCCAGCCGTATTTGGCGCAAGCAAAGTAGCCATGAGCAAGTTGGACACCAAGCCTCTGCCATACGACACCCTAGAGAAACGCATCAAAATCGTGGCCGATAGGTATGTAATATTATGCTACAGATATGGCTTTTATCAGACCCTGTTCTATTATATCATTCTTAACTGTTTCTATTGTTGTTGTAATCAAGTAGGTAATTCATAGGCAGGCTTAGCCTTGACCAACTCATCAGATAATGATAAATATTATAATACCTAGGTAATTATAGTAGGTGACGACTTGAGGTAGATAACAATTTAGCATGTTTCCATATTAAAATTAACTTAATTGAGTACTTATTTACATCCAAGTATGTAAAATCTTTATTTTAACTTCACATTTCTAGTTTCTTAGCAAATTTTAATATTATGACAAATACCTAGGAATTCTCTTTTATTGTTATTTTTAACAATATTTTTATGATCAACAAATATTAATTAGTACCTATGAATGAGGAAGAAATGTGTTATATGGCCTAAGAAAACATGAACTTTGCATGTTTATATCTGTAGACTTTGGATAACAATATTATTACATATTATATTTTTTTTAATTCAACTAATTATTTTATTTAAAATATTTCCGGGTACTATATTCTTTTACCCATTTCAGCATTATATTATTATCTATCTATTGATTAGATAAAATATGATCTTTTTAATTGTTTTTAGATCATAAACTTATTATTAGTAATTAATTTTTTGGTATTTAATTTGTAAAAATCTATTTTAATGTTTTATTTTTTCATTGGGTAGAATAAAATTGCGGTTAGCGGTCATATAAAAAATAAAAAAATAAATGATGCCCAAGCCAGGTCTGATGATTTTAGTTTATCTATTTTTACGGTGAAGTTGATCTATTGCCAAACATTTTTAGTATGACCTATCTATAGTGGATACTAGGTTGTGATTTCAAATGTTTTTTTTTACCATTACCCTAATCTGTACTTACCTACTGACTTTAGATATCTACCTTAATCAATTATTTTATTAAACTTTAAAATAAGTAGACCACATAGTTTCCATACATTTAATGATATTGATTAAACTTCCTTAATACTAAATAGTAAATACTAATTATATTCAAAATGTGAATTATTTTGATTAATTTAAATTATTATAAATTCTTTAAGATAAGTTACATATGTTCTAGGTTCCTAGTATAACTACAATTTTAATAAAAAAAAAAGCCATTTCTAATAAGAAATTGTAATTACATACTTATAGTACTAAAGCTTTCTATGAATTATGTTTTTCATTATGTATTAGCTACATAACTTATCTTATCTAAGACTTTAGATACTACCTAGTATTATAAATAATTTGAAGTTAATTATACAAATTATTGATTTAGGATTACTTATCACATTTGTGTGCATTAAAAAATGTAGTTATTGCCTCTTGAAAGTAGTTGTAAAAATAGATAAATTTCTGATAATTTTGTCAATTACTATAGTCTAGATATACCTATTTTATATATTATATATTTTCAAGATGTATGGATGTATCCAATTATGTTTTATAACTTTATTTAAGCCTTTCATCATATAAGATGACAACTAACATAATACTATACATAATATTCTAATACTACATATAACACAAAAATTGATTTCTGAATTGTAAATATTAAATAACAAAAAATCTGTTTTGTTTATTTCATATAAGCTATATCAGTTTTAAGATTCAGAAATAATATATGTATGTTATATTATTATTCCCAAAGATTCCATCATTGGTTTTTGAAATGTAACATACATTTTTTGCTAAATCCTTGAGATTTGAAGTGTATTTCCTTTTATTGTTATATGTATATTTGAACATTTTGTATATTTATTAAATTGAAAATGATAGCAATCAGTATTTATAATGTGCCTTTACCAGTGACATACTTAGAACTGAATTTCTGGGAGGGGGGGGGGTATAATCTCCCCTTTAGTATGCTGCTGGTCATTATTAATAATTCTAAGAATATAAATTTCATTAGGTAACATAATTTATTGTTTTAGGTAATTTATAAACTCATGAAATACAGAAAACTTAGCATACTCGTTGAATAAGCCAACTGTATTTTAAAGGAGCTCATAACACAAAAAAAAATGTTCTTTACATTTTTTTTTAAATGTTAAATTATTTTAGTTATGGTTATATGAAATGATTTGGTGAAAATTCAATGTAAAAAAAAAAAAAAATGATTACTTTAAGAGATATTAAAAAATTTTGAATAGCTATTTGCTGTCATTAGTCCCGGCTCATTGTAATTGCCTATCTTATATGTGCAAAAGTTCCTTGCTTCACAAAATGATCTACCAATCTAAACATTTTATTTTTGAAACTTAGTTTACGTTTAAATGTATGATTTTATCTGTTTAAGACGATAAAAGTATCAAAAATTCAATATAACGTTTGGTTTTTTATATATTAATAAATCTTTAAAGTGATATTTTTGTTAAATTGGGCCTCATGGCCATTTAAACATAGAATAAAAATTCAAATGTCTCTTTTAAGATTTTTAATATTTAAATAATTAAACATTATATTGAAATTCTGATACTTGTATCATCTTAAACACATTTATATGTAAATTAAATTTCAAAAATAAAACTTAGGTTGGTAAATCGTTGTGTAAAGCGAGGAACTTTTACAGATTTAAGATAAGCACAATTATGATGAGCCGGGCCCAATGACGTTACGGGTCTTTTTTCAATTGTTCATAACTTATTGAATAATGTGAGTAGAAACGTAAAACCTAAACCATTATTCTTAGAATTGAACATTCTTTCAAATTTAATTTTTTGTTGTGTGCTCATTTAAGTTAATTTTTTTTTTAAAATTAAAATCAATCACAAAACATTTTGTAATATTGCATAAAATGTCTTCAAAGTATATTATAAGTACTCACATTAAGCAAAAATTAATAAAATAAAATAATGATGAGCATTTTTGTGGTCAAAGATAACAAATTAAAATAATGTTTACAATTGTTATAGATTAGGAAAGCCATTGTCTTTGGCAGAAAAAGTACTTTACTCTCACTTAGATGATCCAGTTAATCAAGACATCGAACGTGGTGTCTCTTACTTAAAGTTAAGGCCTGATCGTGTAGCAATGCAGGATGCTACAGCTCAAATGGCCATGTTGCAATTTATATCATCAGGTTTGCCGAAGGTTGCTGTTCCTTCCACAATTCATTGTGATCATTTAATTGAAGCTCAAGTAAATTAAATTTATTAGTTATAATTGTATATTATTATTTGTATTAATAATTGTTAAATTATAGACAGGTGGAGTTGAAGACTTGAAAAGGGCTAAAGATATGAATGAAGAAGTTTACAGTTTTTTGAAATCAGCTGGAGCAAAATATGGAGTTGGATTTTGGCACCCCGGTTCCGGAATTATTCATCAAGTAAATATAACAAAATATTATCAGTGATATTTTTATTAAATTGCATGAGTAAAAAATGAAATTATAATATTTTGTTTAGATTATTCTGGAAAACTATGCATTTCCTGGATTATTGATGATTGGTACTGACTCACATACACCTAATGGTGGTGGACTTGGTGGTTTATGTATTGGAGTTGGAGGTGCAGACGCTGTTGACGTGATGGCTGATATTCCGTGGGAGTTAAAATGTCCTAAAGTAATCAATAATTATTAATCAATCATTTGAAATGTTGTTTTTAATTTTTAATATAATTTTTGTTTAGGTTATTGGCGTTCATTTAACGGGTAAGATGACCGGTTGGACTACACCAAAGGATGTCATCCTTAAAGTTGCAGATATTTTGACTGTCAAAGGTGGTACTGGTGCTATAATTGAATATCACGGACCTGGAGTAGATAATATTTCATGCACAGGTAATGATTACTTAATATAGTGTAGGTTGTAATTTTAATAATTTTAATAATCATTTAATCATGTATACAAAGGCATGGGTACGATCTGTAATATGGGTGCAGAAATTGGAGCTACTACTTCTCTGTTCCCTTTTAATCATCGAATGGCGGATTATTTAAAAGCGACATCACGTGCTGATATTGCTGAAGAAGCTGCCAAGTACAGCAAGTCATTATTGACTCCTGACAAAGGCAGTCATTATGACCAGGTAATATTTTTTCTTGAATTGTTACAATATTATACTAATATTTTGTTTTATTAATTTCATCAATGTAGTTAATTGAACTTGATTTAACAACACTGGAACCTCATGTCAATGGACCCTTTACACCTGATCTCGCCCATCCAATTTCAAAACTTGGAAAAAATGCTAAGAAAAATAATTGGCCTGTGGAAATCAAAGTTGGTTAGTTACTTAAAATGCAAGCTTATTCATTTATATTGTAACAATATTATTAGAAGAAAAAATAAGACAACATTTTATATTTAATAACCATACGAAAAAGTTGACTTTACTGAAATACTAAATAAGTATGTCAGTAACATTACGAGTTTTGTTCAGACTGATAGATGGAGTTTTCCCTCATCTCGTTGGTCGCCTTATTACTTGTTAAAATACAATATTAGATTTTTATAAATTCTACCAATAAAAAGATGCATATAGATGGAATGTGGAATAGTCAGCTAACATGGTATGTACTTTGTATCACAAAGTTTGTCCACATACACATGATATTTTCTTTGCCACTCTAAATAACTTGTTTAAAAATAACAATATATATATATATACCCCTTATTTATTTGTCATCCTTTCCGCCATGGTGGTAGGGAATACTGGTTTAAAGGAAAACTGTTGTTATTTTATGTCTATACCATTTATTTATGTGTTAGATATTTGTTATTTTTCTAATTTCAGGTCTTATTGGAAGCTGCACCAACTCAAGTTATGAAGATATGTCAAGATGTGCTACTATTGCAAAAGAAGCCTTAGCTCATGGTCGTAAATCAAAAATTCCATTTAATGTTACTCCTGGATCTGAACAAATTAGGGCAACAATTGAAAGAGATGGAATTGTATATAAGAATTTAATATTATATTAGTATTTATTGGTAGATATTTTAATTGCACTATGATTTAGGCACAAACTTTGAGAGAATTTGGAGGAACTGTACTAGCTAATGCGTGCGGTCCATGTATTGGTCAATGGGACCGTAAAGATGTCAAAAAGGGTGAAAAGAACACTATTGTCAGTTCATATAACAGAAACTTTACTGGACGTAATGATGCCAATGCAGCAACTCATGCTTTTGTCACCTCTCCAGAGTTAGTTACTGCTTTAGCTATTGAAGCTCGTTTGGACTTTGATCCTACAGTTGATTCAATTAAGGGAGCTGATGGTTAGTTAAATATTACTTATCAGTTAACAAACTTCAGTCACTAAAAAACACATTAATATGTTCTCAAAGTCAGAGATTTGTTAACATTGCATACTCTTTTCTGTTCATTGTATTGATTTGGAACAAAATAACAATTGTTACTACTTTTGAGTAACTATTTTTTATCAGTTAAGATCTTCTATTGAAATTAAAATAATTTTTTTTAAATAAATAGAAAAAGTATTTTATAAAAACAATAAAACATAAATTAAACACTAAAATATTTTAATTTGCTGGATCTCCTCTATCGTGATAGCTTTATGATGTTATTAATTGTATTGATGAATTAATATTTCATGGAGTTTTGTTTGTGGCCCGATTCCATTATCTTGAGTTTAATGTTTTAATTCCATAATGATGTTTTTATTGAGAAGCAAATTCCATATTTTATAGTATAATACTAATATTAATTCTCATAATTTTATTTTGATAGGTAAAGAATTTAAATTGAGTAATCCATTTGGTGATGAATTACCTGCAAGAGGATTTGATCCCGGTCAAGATACTTACCAGGCTCCACCTGCTGATGGTTCAGCTGTGAGCGTGGTAGTAGACCCAAAATCCAATCGACTCCAATTATTGGAACCATTCAAAGTTTGGGATGGAAAAGATTTGGAAGGCCTTACTATACTCATTAAAGTATGTTTAGATAAATAATATGCACTTAATGATTTTATTTTTTTTCTTAAGATATTCTAATCTTTAATATATACCTTTTCAATAGGTGAAAGGAAAATGTACAACTGATCACATTTCTGCAGCTGGTCCATGGTTGAAATACCGAGGTCACTTGGAAAATATATCAAATAACATGTTATTAACGTAAGTTATTATGATTTAATTTTTATTAAAATGTTCAAAATACAATTATTATTTTCATTATTCCAGTGCAACGAATGCAGAGAATAATGAAATGAATAAAGTAAAGAACCAAGATACTGGAGAATGGGGCGCGGTACCAGATACTGCCAGGGCATACAAAGCCAAAGGTATATCGTGGGTAGTGTTTGGTGATGAAAACTACGGTGAGGGAAGTAGCAGAGAACATGCCGCATTAGAACCTCGTCATTTGGGTGGACGTGCAATCATTGTCAAGTCATTTGCCCGTATTCACGAAACTAATTTGAAAAAACAAGGAGTATTAGCCCTGACATTTTCCGATGCTAAGGATTATGATAAAGTTCAACCGTCTGATAAAGTGTCTTTGGTAGGACTTAATCAATTCACCCCTGGCAAGGTAAACTGAAGTTCATTTAAAATTAATTCATCCAGTTTTCTAGTATCTACTATATATTTTATTGGTCTAATTGTAATTGAGTTATTCAACTAATATTATTTTGTATTATTTCAGCCTTTGAAATGCATATTGTCCCACGCTGATGGAAGCTCTGATGAGATATTCCTGAATCACACATTCAACGAGCAACAAATCCAATGGTTTAAATCTGGTAGTGCATTAAACCGAATGAAGCAAGTAGCTGCTGCTTCTAAATAAAATGTTGTTCTTCTAAATTAAATAATTGTATTATTTATTAATATTTAATTCATTGTTGATATTTTAAATTGAAAACAAAAAATAATTTATGTAAAAAGTAACTGTTTTTAGTCAAATATTTTTTAGGCAAAAAATCATTGGATTTAGATTCATTGCTACTATTGTTTTATATATTATAATTGTTAATAAATTAAATAAATCAATTTTGATAGTTTTAAGTATGTTGATTTTTGTTACTTATTATAACTTTTCTCTTTAGAACAGACTATTGAATGTCTTAAGACTAAAATATTTTCAAAAAAACACGTTTATAAATCTTGTACATAATATAATTTTCAACGTTACATAAGAGAAAAATATTTCCTTTCAATGAGTCTCACAATCATTATACATCATTCAGTATATTTAAATGTAAGTAATAAGTTGGTATGTACATTGGTAATGGGGAAAAAGTGGACAGCTAGATGGCGACGAAGTTCTGTACTTAATAGACATCAGTGTATGAGTTCGACACCGTGAAACTCTCGGGTGAACTTGACGGCGACGACGAAAAAAGCTATGCTCTTCACGACATTCCTAAAATACAACGATGATAATGATAATACTAATACATCGGAACTAGTAAATAACTGTTTGAATGATGCTTACCAAATGTTTTCGTCCTGGTAGATGAACTTAACCTTTTCCATGGCCGTGCGAGGTTTTGGCTGGACAGCCTGGGCCGGTCTTCCGAACATTCTGTACGAGGGCAGGTAAGTTGTCGGACGCTACAGCGACAGTAGTTATACACTAAATATTCTATGATCTACGTCCAATTATTAATTGTCGGTCTACGGTGAAACTCAAAAGAGACAAACGCGATCAAATGAAATTATTGAAATAATGAGATGCTCAGATGCCCAACTCCTAAGACTAATCGGTAATCATTATTCATTAATCAGTGTTGTAGATTCGGTATTCCGGTGGATGAACATTGAACCACGATGTTATCATCTGTTATCTAGTGGCAGCTTAGCCAACCCACAGATATATACAATGTATATATCTGTGAGCCAACCATACCATATTCTTATATTATGCACAGTCGCACAGATATATTATACTTGGCCGTTCTTACATTAGAGTTTTTGCACAACGTCCGTTAAACACTCCGGTAAAAATAACGTTCGGTTAAATTATACGGTAATATAATAACGTTGTAATTGAAACTTTAGTTTTTGCATTTACCGGATGCTAAAATTTCGTAAAACTTTTTTATCACATGTAAGTTGTAACCATAACCATAGACATATAAACAGGTTTATGGGTCCAACCATTTTGATAATCGCAAATTGGATTTTTCAATTTTACATTTTTACAATCATAATATTATAAGTAGGTAGGTAGGTAATAGGTATTAAATTTGGTATTAACAACTACTATATTATACTATACGATTTAGGGTATAGAGTATAATATGACATCGGACATACCACATACGTATATAGTGTTTGTTGCCTTTTGGTATTACCTATTAAGTACAGTGTAAAATTATCACCAGTGTAAAATCAAAATCACGGATAACAGAATTTGCTAAGATATAATAACCGATAATAAATATTAGGTGTCCGCTAAAATGTTTAAAATAACCGATTACGATAATCAAATAACCGTTCCGATATTTTTCGCGCATGCGCAAAGGCTTGTTTTGGTAAATAACGTTATCGGATTCATACCGTATTTTTAACCGGCGTTGTGCAAAAACTCTCTAATGTCCGGTAAAGTGTCGGTTAACGCTAACCGACTGATAACAGATTTTATTACCGGCAGAATTCTTCGGTAAAATTCGGTTAACTTTAACCGGACGTCGTAAGAATATAGTATATCAGATATAAAATACTAGATAGCTAACAAGGCATCGAACATTGAAGTTATCCGCCATATGCGTGTAGGTCAATGTTTACATAATTGTCTTATCAATACGACATGATAACAATCTGATGGTCAAAATACTTTAATATCTGACGATGAAAAAATTGAATAAGGATAATATTATGTGTTTTCATTAAAAACAATTGCAATAGAAGTATATATTTTTTATATTTTATAAAAAAAATTTATTCTGTGCGAATAATATCATGTTATCATACAGTATTGATAAGATGACTTCAACATCGATTACCCTAATTTAGACAAGTTAGCTATCTAGTATTTTATATCCCAACAAAACATATATGTAAAATGATAGCCAAGTTCAATTATGTAATATATGCTTTGATTGTTGACTTCAACGACAAAAGAAGTGAGATCTAAATGGATGCCAAGTTCAATGGTCAGCCCTGAAATTTATTTATAACAACATGAAATATAATTTCTTCTTATCTCTTAGGATAATGTTTTGAAGCCTAAAGTCTGACTTGGCTAGTTTCCATATTTTACGAATTATTATCATCAAGTACCTACTAAATCAGTCATGGAAGAGCACTATGTTCGATAGCTAGTTTCTAATAGCAAGCCAAATTTTTAGAAGAATAAAAAAGAACTCCCAACTTTTTAGAACTTTCGAAGGCTATAACATAATTCGTATATAGAAACTAGCCAAGTCAGACCTTAGGCTTCAAAACATTATCCTAAGAGATAAGAAGAAATTATATTTCATGTTGTTATAAATAAATTTCAGGGCTGACCATTGAACTTGGCATCCATTTAGATCTCACTTCTTTTGTCGTTGAAGTCAACAATCAAAGCATATATTACATAATTGAACTTGGCTATCATTTTACATATATGTTTTGTTGGGATATCATTACTTTTTGTATGTAAATTTTTAATAGCTATTTATTCATAATAAAATTATTTCCAAATGGTTTTTATTAAACTATTGTATTTATATTATATTATTTATATTATTTTTACAATAATTTACCATGACGTATTCTATAAATAAAGTTTATTACTAAATACTATAATTCAGTTACTAACGTATAACATTTATAATATTTATTATAAAATATTTTCTATTGTATATACAGAGTATAAAATATATGTAAAATTAATATACAATTATTTTAACTCTTTTTGAGTATATTTTTAATTATCATAATTTTATTGACTGTAGTTTCTACTGTTGGGTGGATAATTCATAATTTGTAAGAATAATTATTTAATTATTTTAATTGTAATATTTAAAAAAAATAATATTAATTACATACATAGATAGAAAAAAAAGTATGTTGCTGCGCGCGGGTCGACAATATCGACACATATTCGGCTAGTCGTATTTTTGGAACGGCGATATGGGAAAGGCTATTTAAGTCAACATTACATTACAGTACATTAAATTAGAGGCAATTATTATACCTAACCTAACCTAACCTATAAATTGAAAAATTAAACATAATAGATAAAATAATTGCAAAATTATAATAAAATCAATTGATTAAAAAATTAAAAATTAAAAATTAAAAAATTTTAAATTAAAAATTTTTAAGTTTCTGATTTTTTCCTTTGTATTTACCTAACTACCTATCTGTATGCCAAATTTGAACTTTCTAGGCCATCTGGAACTGGGTTAGAATTTTGATCTATAGGTAAGTCAGTGATAAAAATGACGATTTTCGGATGTTAATATCTAAATAACGGTTTGAAGTGTGTTTATGAAATTTAGAGCACATATGTATCTCGTTAGTCTCAATATATGAGCCAAATTTGACATGTTTATGTGGAATAGTTTTTGAGTTATGAGGGGGTCAAAAGTGGCTCCAAATGGTTCGTGTAATATTACACACGGTGCTGCTCGCCAGTTCTGTTAGCTAGAACTTGGCTTGACACGCTACCGCGTGTCTAGATCTGTGATCTTAGTCCGTGCCACGATTTAAGATACTATCTTAAATCGTGGTCCGTGCTAAATAGTATATATCTGTGATATTATGTCTTCTATATTCTTATATTATCTATGCCCATCACCATAAATAATTAAAATATTTATATAAACATTATATGCGTCTCTTAGTTCATGTATGTAGCCCACTGATATATAATACTAATTATCTGTATTCTATTATCGTATTTCATATCTGTGATGTAGCCACTAGCCAATAGCCATCCTATTTTGCTAAGTAGTCGCATCGTAAGCAGATGAATTTTTGATTCTTTGTTTTTTGCATAAAAGAGAATTAATAAAGAATAACGAGAATGACATAAGAACAACTCATTACCCGCCAAAATTCAATTTTCATTACAACACAGATAAAAAGTTTATTTGTATCAATGATCAATAAATTGGTAAAAGGACGTTTCGTCCATAGATAATATATTATTTATGGTTTTGTCCCCGTCTTTTATTAAGATAGGACATTTGGCCCCTGGGAATTATGTGATGTTATTTACCTACCCATAGGACGTTTGGTCCCCGGTATTTTAAATCACTGCATTTAAATGGCTTTTTTGAAAATTATTTTGAAAAAAAACGTACAATTTCAATATAGGTAATTTATATTAATATGTGAGGATGGCCTATAGTATAGGCCCTAAACCAACATCTTGTAATGCAATTTTTAATATTGATTTTTTTCGATTCCTACTCTAAGCTAAAAACTTACATTTGTAATTTGAATATTGATGTTTAATTTATTCTCTGTTATTTCAACTATTGCCTCCGCATGTGTTAAATTAACCATAGTTTTAGTCTTTCAATACTGTACTCTTACCCTTTATGGTTTTACACATATTTATTTATTTAATAAATATTATATTAGTATTATTATTATTGTTAAAACTAATAACTTTTTTCAAAATATTACAAATTTTTGTTTGAGTTGTTCGACAACAAAGACGACGACAACAACGATAATATGAACTCCCGGGGGCTAAAATATGTCCTATATTAATAATAAGACGGGGATGAAACGTCCGTGAGCTCATTTTTTTTTTACAGGGACGAAAAGGCGGGGACTAAACGTCCGCAATTCCAATAAATTACATTTAATAAGAATCAATTATCAAAGATAAAAATTCCCCAA